TATAATAATATAAATAACGTAATTCAAATTCAAATTTTTCATAACTACGACAATGGGTATTTAGTTTGAATTCGGATCTTCGTTGCGTTTGTACAACACGGCAGTAAGAAGTATAAATAGATAGGCCCAAACAGGAGTGCAATCTCGGGCGAGCAATTAATCACTTGAAGTTATTACTAGTATGCATCTCTTCTATATCTCTTAAGACTAACTACACCAGACATTGGTTCAAGCTTTTTAGAGAAGATAATCGGGTTCTAGAATTCTACATCTTCTATTCTCTTCTGATTAAGTTCACTGTGTGATTCAAGACGAATTAGTTTTCTTAATAGAATACCCGAACCGGAGGGTTCCAAGTAAAAGGATTTAAATTCGAAACTCCTTTATAAGGCACGGTTGTGTTGTGCCACCAGTTGAGGATAAAATAAAATAATACATTCCGCGAGTCAAATGTGCATGAAATAGGATATGACACGATATGAATGGAAAACACACAAGATAAGGTTGAATTCGTGTGCCGTGAATATAAAAGTATAAGAATTTAAAGAGCACACATAAAACCACCTTGCAAGACATGTAACGGCCGTCTGGTGTAGTGGTAAGTGACATGGTCACTACATACGAGGGTCGCGGGTTCGAATCCCGCCAAGGGAAGATATTTGTATGATAAATGTAAATGTCTTTTCCAGGGTTATGGATGTATATTAAATATATGTATGTGTATAATAAAAATCTTACATTTATATCCGTTATCTGGTACCTGTAACACAAGTTCTTTACGAACTTATCACGGGACCAGTTAACGTGGCGTGATTGTTAGTAAATATTTATTTATTTATTACGTTGATTTAATAAATACTAGATGATGACCGAGCTTTGCACGTTTTTTTTTATAACGCCATCTTGTTGTGTCTTTAAAGCAGTAAAAATAGTATAGTATTCGCCAATAGATGTCGGGAAGAGTCATAAAGTTGATTATTGAAAACACGAATAAAACAACATTTTCTGAAAATAAATCGTAGCTAGATCGATTTATCGTCCCCGAAATCCCCTGTATACTAAATTTTATGAAAATCGTTGGAACCGTTTCCGAGATTCAGATTATTACAAGAATTGCTCGTTTAAAGGTATAAGATAACATGTTTCTGCATGTAAATAAATTATATGGACAAGACCAGATCAATATTAGATTCTAGTGATGCTGATGCAGCAATACCACTTGTATCAATAAGAGCAACATGCGGCAATACATCAATCCTATTGATAAATTGTTGTTTATCCAATTGATATAATATGTATGTAACCTCTATACGATTAATCCTTAAAGAGGTTAATATGTTATTTATATCATTCTTCTATAGATGACATAAATAAAATTTCGATTATTAAAACATTAGAACATTAGACATATAAAGAGCATTTTTGCAATATTAAAATATAAAAAGATATAAAAATAATGGTGAAGCAATAGCTTTAAATGTTGTTTCTCTTTATAAGAGCAACTCAATTGCTACAGTTTTACAAAGCTAAACTGTTTTTTTGATTTAAATAAATAAATACATTATAAAACAACATTTCTACAGCTAGTTACCAAGAAAAATGGATAAATTGAAATTCGAGTTCATGGTTAAAGCCAATGAAGATGTAAAAACAAATACTATTTGTGTAACGACAATCACGGATTTTTATATGTTTTTTATTGTATTTACGGTGAACAATCTCACGACCTACCTCGTGTTAACTGGTTATCGAGGCTCATAGACATCATAACGCGAATTCCGCTACCTAACTTGAGAAATGATATCGAAGTCTTAATTTAATAATTACTGCTTGGAGGCGCCAATAGACAGAACAGAGGTACCTACTCGTGCAGACACACAAGGCTTCTTAATACCAATCATTACGCAAATTGTAATTTTTACAGATTAAATTTTTGGGTATATACTCTATGTAAATAAAAAACTCAATAGTCATATCTCCGCGAACAGTCACTTTGAATTTCATATTGACCTCACTCGCTTTGTATAATGCCGAATCAGCAGAAATCGAAAATATCTATATATTAATACGTGAAGCAAAAACTTTGTATCCCTTTTTACGAAAATTGAGCGGACGGAGGAGTATGAAATTTTCGACACTTATAGAGAATATAGAGATGAGTGCACAATGCTATTTTTTTTTAAAAATAATGCATAAAAGATACATTAAATCAATAAAGAAAAGATTACACACACTACACTACATACCATGTATTTGACGCACAAACGCATGCATAAAAAAAAAAAAAAAAAAAAAAAAAAAATTCATAATAGTGTACAAACTTACAATTCCAATTAGTTATAGTCGAATTTCGACTACTGCGGGACCTCTAGTACTAATAAATAGTGCTTCAATATCGAAAACCTTAATTCTATTCGAACATCCAAATTAATATATCTCAAATATAAATTACGTTACGTAAATATTGTAATTACGATACACATTATAAAATTAAAATGTGTAATTAGTAACAAAACGAACTGATAACCTATGAACCCCACTAAGACACTTCGCTACAAGCCGCTTTTAATGACGCCATTTTTTTCTTCTTCGAATTAGATGTGCCTTTGTGTTGACTTTATGAAGTCTTCGTTCTGGTGTAGAATACTTATTCTGATTATAAAGTCACTTTGATGTTTCTGAATATAAATTTTAATTTCATTATTCTAATACTTTATATATATATACTATAATAGTTATGGTAGGCAGCGGCTTGGCTCTGCCCCTGGCATTGCTGACGTCCATGAGCGACGGTAACCACTTACCATCAGGTGGGCCGTATGCTCGTCTGCCTACAAAGGCAATAAAAAAATAATAATAATAATAAAAAAATAAAAATCAGTACAGTAATTGAATGGAGGAGCACCATAGACGCGCAATAAGTGATTCTCAATCTAATTTCGAAAAGTCGCAGGTTTTGAGACTATAAATAGAACTTCTTTTAGTATGTACACACGCTTCACCAAACATGTGTACGTACAGTTATCATATGTGATGCACTTGTCATGTGATGATAATACATATTAGTCTTTTTTATCAGGATAAAATTTAAAATTTCTCTTAACTAAATAACAAAATTGGAAAACGAAACTCAAAATCATAATAAAGTCATAAAAAACATGATATATCGATGTATGACGATAGTACCGATGATATATATATCAAACAGTGTTGCTATATAACAATATCTATATAATAAGATATAACATATATTATCTATACTAATATTATAAAGTTGAAGAGTTTGTTTGAACGCGCTAATCTCAGGAACTACTGGTCCGATTTGAAAAATTCTTTCAATCCATTATCGAAGCCATATAGTCGATAGCCTATTTATCGAAAAAGGCTATAGGCTATATAACATCACGCTAAGACCAATACAAGTGGAGCACCAATAAAGAATGTTTCCAAACCCGGGGGTTTTTTTCCCTTTTCAGAGCTTCCGCTGTGTGCGCTGCAGAAACGGTTAGTTCGCTAAAATAATGTATGACAGAATTGTTCCCCTTTAAAAGATCTAAAAAAAGTTCGCGACAGCATATGTCTATATGTTAAGGTTGGCTCACTATAACGTTTTTTATGCTAACCAAATTTGTTCTAAAATTAAGCATTATTTGTGAACCATTCCAAGCGGTCGAAGTCGCGGGCAAAAGCTAGCATTTTATACAATAAGAGACTAAGAAGTTTGTCGGATAAGATCACATTTTTGGGAGTTTGTTTTTTCTTATATGGCAACACTGTTTGATTCAGTTGGCGACGTGTAGCTATCTTTTGATTGTTACCGACAAATATTTATTAATTCCGTAATTCAGCGACGGAAGTTACGTTTGGCACTTAACGACTTTAACGATTAGCGAATGTGAACACATATTCTATGGGAAGTGCTCTGAGTTCCATGGAGAGTGCTCTGAGGAATTGTTTGAGTCATCTCAACCATAACATCATCTCCTCTCATCTCAAACATCTCAAACCATCATCTCGTTTTTACCACCGTAGTAGCGTTCATCCATATTACCAGGAGCCACTGCGTTCATCCACAATGCGTTTCCAGAGATCTTTTTTGCCACGTACCATCCGGCTTTGGAATGAGCTCCCCCCTCGGTAGTCCGTGGGCGACGGTAGCCACTCACGATCAATCATATGGGTATGCTCGTCTGCCTACAAGGGCAACAAAAAAAAAGACAGTATGGACCGGGCAGTGTCTCTGGTGGACCGGCTAAGATACTAATTGAATCAGTGGAAAGCTGTCAGAGATATGTAGAGCAAGCGACATGTCACTCATCACGGATACTAGGACGCAAGTCAGACAGTAATGTTGAACCTACTGTTACTACATACAACACTAATATTACTACAATAGATGTCTATGGGCTCCAGTAACCACTTAACACCAGGTGGGCTGAGAGCTCGTCCATCCAAGCAATAAAAGAAAAAAATATATATAATGTACATTTCTTTCCTGAAAATTTCATATTTTTTCTTTGAGATGGACATAATATAGAATGTACTAAGTTTGCCAAGCTCTTTATTTAATTTGCACTATAGGTTTATTTAGTAATATATGGAGAATTTATACTAGTAGGCAGTGTCCCATGTCTTCTAATACTAATTACGACGATTGAAGAACAATGGTATATCAAATATATTAATTCGGTTTAAAAGACATTTTTGCAAATTTAAAAGAGTCACTTAAAGTTTAAAATAAATAAAAAAAACATGACAAAAACATCGTATTGTTGATGCCAATACCAAATAAAACGCACCTTTAATTACAAATGTAAATGTCGCGTATTAAACAGAATGTCGCTTATACCAACAAATAACCTTTTCCCCCTCGAATTATATTACAACACGGTATTTCTTAAAGAAAATCGAGTCTTTCAATGAAATAAGAATGAAATTCCCGAAGTACCCTTCGAACCTGAAATATTTTAATCATAACGATATAATTTAAAAACACTAACCTTCTGCTGGATTTGAGACGGCGTCGTGAATTAGCGATGCCAGACAACCAGATAAACCTGAAACCGATTGTTTATATATTTTATTTGAAAAAACAACTACCAGCCGTACTCTCCCACTTCGCTGGGCATTTAAAATTAACATTATTATTTATTGTCATTATTATTAGGGAGTCCAACACTCATATAAATATTAGCCTACCCATTAAGAACATGTATTTTCTACATAGGTACCAAGTTTCTAGTCAATCGGATGCATGGTTCAGTAGTTATAACGGAACATCCGTAAAAACCACTGTAGATTTATATATTGGTATAGATAAACTAGATTTGACAACAACATAGACGTGTTGTTGTCTGCATTAACAATTTCTATAATTGTGCTTTCTTTTTGCTTTTTCTCATATTCGACTATGTAAATATTATTTTTTAATGTAACTCGGGGTGAAAACGTTAATACCTAACTATGCACATATCCTTTTTCACTCCAAGGACCTAATAAATATTTGTAAGAATTACAAGACACCCAGAACTTTAGCTAAAGCATATATGTACCATAATTCGTAATGACCACGCCCGATCCTGTGGGCCGATTGGTAAACAGTCGACGTCGCCCTAAACATGTCATTACGGATCCTCCTGATCCATTAACGGTGCTTTTAGGTACATCAAGCTCCAGTCACCGTCCTCGCCGAACCCATCGCTTGCGACGGAGGGCTCGACGAGTAAATTAACCCATAGACAGAGCCCACTGAGTTTCTCGCCGGATCTTCTCAGTAAGTCGCGTTTCCGATCCGGTGGTAGCACTGCTAGGGTCAGCGTTAGCAGCCTCCGGTTTGAGCCTCGTGAGCTACACGTCAAGACGAAGCCAAAATGGCCTCTCAAGACTATTAGCATAGATAAGAAAAAAAAACGGACGACTGATATACCACAAAAATTGTCTTCTAATAAATGCACTGACAAATTATTACCACATCTTCTGACGGAATATGTAGCCGGTCTAACGTAAGTATCTAGCATACGCAGTTTAAAAGCCTTTCAGACAATCTCTATATATAAAAAAGAATTGCTGTTCGTTAGTCTTGCTGAAACTCGAGAACGGCTGAACCGATTTGGCTAATTTTGGTCTTGAATTATTTGTAGAAGTTCAGAGAAGGTTTAAAATATAGATAAATGAATGAAAATGTTCGGAATTAAATAAAAATAACAATTTTAGTTTTTCCTTTGATGTGTCCCCCGTCGGACGGATTCCTTTTGTTTGTTTTAAGTTTATTTGACACAAAAGCTTAGGTCTTTTCTTTATCGATTAAGGCACTACCAAGACTGCCGGGTCAGCTAGTCAATAATACGTTATCGTAAAGAGTTTACCGTGCGTTATGTGGTCATGCCGATGCCTGGTCATTTGTGATAACGTTAGTTTGCAGTGCTCGTATGTGGCGAAGAAGCATGCGTGCGCTGGACCCGCTCCGAGCACCACTGCCGACATTCCGCGGATAGGCCTGGAATCAACATAATATGATCATTTTAATACAAATTCGTTTTTGCCAAATAACTAGAATAAAGGTGTGTTTTGATAAGAGCTGCATTTTGTTTCACGTCATGAATATGTAGCTCACATTTTATATTGCGCATTAACAACGTTAATATATTCTGCGCAATGGTCGATCCAGAAAAGAAGAGAAAAGGCCAGGAAAAAGAGCAGCTGTCTCGAACGGGAGCTTATAGCGCAGACGCCATTAAATGCTATATCTGTGAGCTTTTTTTTTATTACCTTTGCAGGCAGACGAACATCCGGCCTACCTGATCAGCCACCTGGTCAGAGGTTACCGTCGCCCATGGACTTCGGTAATGCCAGGAACAGAGCCAAGCCGCTGCCTACTACTTAATACTCTCCACAAGCCTCGTTTGAAGAAGAACATGTCATAGCGCTCGGGAAACAACGTGGAGGGGAGCTCATTCCATAGCCGGATGGTACGTGGCAATAAAGACCTCTGGAAACGCACTGTGGATGACCGCAGTGGCTCCGGGTAGTATGAATGAACTCTACTCCGGTGGCAGGCGGTGCGATGGTAAAAACGAGATGATGGTCTCATCTCAAACAATTCCTCAGAACACTCCCCATGGAACATGTGAGTAAACAACAATATAGCATGCATGAACAATAAGATTATAATTATATTCAATTCGAGAACAGCTTCAAATTCAAATTCATTTATTTCAACTTAGATGTCAGTATAACACACTTGTTGAATGTCAAAATATAAATAACAATGTTAACTCTACCTGAAGAGTCCCATAAAAAAGTGACTATTTCTGTTAATTAGTTAACCCTTTCGCTACTATCGGTGGCTATAGTGTCTGGCTGAAAAACGCCGCCCGTACACGATTGGTGAGGCGCGCATTTTCAGTGCGGAGCTCAGTTTCCTTTGAAACACTTTAGAGCGACGTCTGCCGTAGCGAGACGGTTAAAGGTTAAGAGTATTAAAATGTATTTTCGATGTCCTTTACTCTAGTAAATAAAGTAAAATGTGCAATGTTTTAACAAAAATAATTAAAATTTAAAATAAAATAAAACTATATTTAACAGACGCTGATCACGATTTGTAGTTTTAATTCGAATTCCCGATATTTTGGCTTGTTGCAGGTGCCATAAATAACTGTTAAGCTACGGATATCATAATATGTTAAGAGCAGATAGTTTGTTAACACTCTCCTTATTGCATTTTAGTATGTATTTCGACTTGTTGCAAGCGTTATAATGACCCTTAAGCTGAAGAATGAAAACTGCGGGTAGGATATTACGAGTAGATAAATTTGACTACCCTACTTCCGTTTTTGTGTGTCATCACGAGAACTCGATGATTCGACCCGACAATATACACTTCCGGTATCAACATAGTGTTTATAATGTAGTTAAACACGTAAATTTAAATAGATTCAATTACTGCGGTTCTATCGAAGGCAATTATGACTAGATAAACTTAACCAAACACACAGTGTACTACGTTCGACATTATAATCATTATCAATATTTATCAACGCGCGTATCATTGACAAAAACTTACCTACTTACGTTCCTAATGATACGTATCAAACAAATCGGTGATAGTTTATCGCATCGACAATCATTCGCTCATTAAGTAACACACCTATCTCATACTAGACAAATTTTATAGAAAGTTTTAGTACTTTTATTATCATAACGCCCAGATTTTTATAATGTATTTTTTTAACGTTCACTGACTCTTTCAGTTCGAGCTAAATAAATTACCTAGGTTACAATGATGAGATAGAGGCTCATCACCACAACTTACAGCAGTCAGGTTACAAACCACATCACCAGGTTAATACTTTTTTTTATGATTGAAGGATTCTTGGTGGCCCAGAGGCCTTTCCAGTTTCACCAGGACAGGTGGGCGAGCAAAGGCTCAGCCAGGAGGAGTGGGATTTGCTAACAGTTGCCTGAGCGTCTCTGAAGGAGATCTAACAACTTTAGAGCAACTGCTTCGCGAATGAATCTACTACCGGATCGGAATCGCGACCTGCTGAGAAGATCCGGCGAGAACCTCAGCGGGCTGATGCATAAGTTAGGTTGCACGTCGAAGTCTTTGTCGAGTTCGACGAGTGCGGTTACCGGGGTCTCTAAGCCTGCTCCTAGTGTTAGAGCATTGCGTCTTTTTGCGTCTAATGCAAAGGTTATTGAATCTGATGGATGCGTAAGGACGTGAGGTTAATACCACCAGGCCAGGTACGGTAGAACCAGTCATCTTATGGATGGATCAATTGGTCAAAATTCAAAATGTATGTATTCCCAATATTTTCGGTGTTTCTTGAATTTTATATATTTTTTGATTTGTTAGACCGTTGAATGAGCTCACGGCCTACATGATGTTAAGAGTTACGTGAATGCCGCTACCCATTTTGACCACAGAAATAGACAAGGCGGTGGCTAACCGTGCTAACTCAAAATATGCTCTACCGCCGGTAATTTTTTAAATTATTTCGCCCTGAAAGCCAGCGCATGTTCCGGGGTTACCTGAATATGCACCTTTTACTATTTCGCAAATAAAGATACTTCATATAATAAAATACTGAACATCAACGACTATCTTCTTCTCTGATGTCTTTCAGTACACAGATGTCCATTCCTGGACATAAGCCTCCCCCAAGCTTTGCCACAACGACCGGTCCTGCGCCGCCTTCATTCAGCGGATTCCTGCGATCTTCAGCAGGTCATCGGTGCACCTTGTGGAAGGCCAATTCACGCTAGGTCTTTTAGTACGCGGTCCCCACTGGAGAACTATTCCCTCAACGGCCATCTGTTCTAAGAGCAATGTGCACTGCCCACGGCCATTTCAATCGCCTGTCATGATTCTCCTGCGAATCTCCTCCTTCCTCTTTGATCTCGCAGGGAAACTCTGAGCGTAATCTTCTAGATTGCTCTTTGGTGGCCTTGAACATTCGAACAAGACCCATTCTAAGTGACCACGTCTCAGAGCCATACGTCATCACTGGGAACGTACCATTACCTTTTTCGGAATTGAATATGAACGTAATAATGCGTAAATCGTTCAAATAAAATTACAAACGTCTATAGTCCGTTACGTTTCATTGCGCAAAAAACTAACCGACATATTTAATTGGGTTTAAATGTAAAACTACAATTATCCATCGCAATCATGATGTGTAATTGAATTTCGTATCATTTTCCTTAAGAAATATTTTACAATAACGTTTTACGGGCTTACGTAGACAGTCATAGGCAAAATGTATTTTCCTACTGCGAATATTTCTCGAAAAACCACTTTTTACCACCAATTTTGACGATTAAAAATAGCATGGTTTAATAAAAATGAAACCCAATGTGTATTGTGAGTCTATACGACTAGGGGCCATCATGCGTTTCGGTTTGAAGGGTGGGGCAGTCGTCGTAACTATACTTGAGACCTTAGAACTTATATCTCAAGATGGGTGGCGCATTTACGTTGTAGATGTCTATGGGCTCCAGTAACCACTTAACACCAGGTGGGCTGTGAGCTCGTCCACCCAACTAAGCAAAAAAAATGTTTTGCCGCGAAGCAGTCACGGGCTCCGGTTTGAAGGGTGGGGTAGCCGTTATGCAACCCAATTAGGACTTTGACCAGATATCTCAAGGACAGTGCCGGCATTCATGTTATCAGCCTACTTAAGAACGCATGGGCAATGGACACGCCTACTGATATATAACAATAAAACACCGGTTTTTTCGATCTAGGGTCAGAGGATTTTAAATGATACCTTTTGCTGATTTACATTCAACCCTAGTCTATTAATCATAATATGATAGGTATTGTACGTTTATATGATCGGCTGTCTCGTACTTACTGGGGCTAGGTGGGAGTCTTGTGAGCCCTTACGGATAGGTACCATGACCTTACCTATTTCTGCCGTGAAGTAATAAAGCGTTTCGGTTTGAAGAGTGCGGTAGATGTTGTATTGTAAAAACTAAGAGTTAATACTCATATCTCACGATGGGGGTTGGCATTAATGCTGTTGATGTCGGGTTTCGGTGTTCACCCAAATATAGGTTGACCGCGAGATCGTTCATTAATTTTGGCAAAAAAATACAACGATTCGATTCCCAATCGGCGTCTATTACTTGCTAAAGATATTTCATAGTTGGGATATACTGTTTCCTGATCTCGCGTTCCATTAACACAAGAGACTGGTGGTAGGACCTCTTGTGAGTCCGCGCGGGTAGGTACCACCGCTCTGCCTATATCTGCCGTGAAGCAGTAATGCGTTTCGGTTTGAAGGGTGGGGCAGCCGTTGTAACTATACTGAGATCTTAGAACTTATATCTCAAGGTGGGTGGCGCATTTACGTCATAGATGTCCATGGGCTCCAGAAACCACTTAACACCAGGAGGGCTGTGAGCTCGTCCGCCCATCTAAGCAATAAAAAAAAAAAGAGAGAATCCAATAATGGCACCGTTAAATGTACAACGTTTAACTAATACTACTCTCCCTATATCCGCCCATAAATAACTGCCTTGCTTTAGACATTCCGTGACAATTAAACGAACGACCTTGCGTTGAAATAATTTAGAATGAAATATCCAATACATTTTCAGTAACTATCGACCTTCATTGCCAAGGACGGAGACCTTCAACGTCAGTAATTTAATAGACGAAGAAATCAATACGCGTAGAAAATTAATTTATTAATAGAAGTTCACGAAACTATTTGAAACAATACTCCGGGTCGTAAATTAAAGGCAATTCATTCATTTTGTATTTACGAAAGGAGCATTTATATATTGTTGAACTGATATATCTATAGCATTCTCAATGCCTAATCACTACGAAGCAACAGGCGAACTGTGGCATCAAGCCATGCAGATTCAAACACGATACAGTCACAAAATTCAGTCGTGAAACTCAGAAATCAGAAGCGTAAATTCACGTCAAGTCGTATGTGGTTTTAATCCCTGGAATCCGACGATTATAATTTTCCGATA